CAGGTAGTCGGGGGACTTAACAGTGTCGTTGGCGAATATCAGCAAGCTTAAGCAACAAGAACATTGTTGTCTGCTGGTATGGGGAAAATAATCTTTTTCTCTCCCCAGGGTCTGACTTGATCCCAGAGGGAAGTGAGAGAGCACTCCCACTCACTATTAAAGCCATGCGGGTTTGTGCCGTCCCAAAGGGTAGGTTTTTGCACCATTTTAGCTGAAAGAGAGTATTGACTTTGCTCATTTTGGTCTGGAATCGGGTATGATGATGACATAATTTCTTATAATTTCTTAAAATGCTAGGTCTGAGAATGGGTATGGATTTTAGAGGCCAGGTCTGAAAACAGGTGTGAGAAAAATGACAGTTTTTGGTCTGAAATGGGGTCAGGATTTGGAGAACCGGGCAGCACACCCCTGCCAAGAATTCCCAGGAGTACCCCCTGGGGACTTTATCAACCAAAAAGGTCACACAATAGGAGAAAAATCTGTCCAAACGCTTTCAAACTAGTTGTGTCAGGCAGTAGCCTGTTCCAGGCGCTAAGATAGTAGAGTGCTGCAGTCAGTGGGGAGCAAGTTAAATTGTACACCAGCAAAACGAGGGGGGGATGAGGTTCCCTCCCCGTTTCCCCCTCTAGTCTCCCCTCGTTTTTTTTTCTCCGTGAATTTTTCTCCCACACGCTACTATGTATGAGTATCTGAACGCCTGGAACAGGCTAGTCAGGCAGGAGCATTCCAACAAATGAAAAACCAAACTCTGAGCTCAGGTTGCCATGGGCCTTTTTCAAAAATACACCTGGGGTATCCAGGGATATACGAGAGTCTCAGCCCAAACCCTTACCAATTAATATACCATTTTTGACCGAAAAGGTACCATTTTCATAAACCTTCTGTTAACAAATGGTACCCGTTTCACAGTTTAGAACTTTACATCCCTTTTTAATGCTGTGAATGCACTGTTCTTTTAAATATGAATAAATCACTAAACCAGAATGTTTTCTTGTTTTTTTACAAACTGAAAAGACAGATTTGCCAACCCTTTTATATACTTGAACTACATACAACTGAAGCCCCAAAAAGGAAACCCTCTTGGGCAGAACCTCTCCATATAGGCCATTTTAACAAGTTCAAGCCCCTCTGTCACTCCCCCCCCCACCCCACCCCCCCTAAAAAAAAGAAATTGAAACAACTCTCATGGTTCCAAACTTCTGTCCATCAATACGATATATTATAATATTGTAAAGAGGTTACTAACCGCTCAGCTTGAAAGACTCAAACATTAAATTGGCCAGCTTGAGCGATATTCAAAATTTAAACAGGGTACACATAATGGACATAACATATTCTAAAATGGTGTTCACTGTGCAAAAAAATTCCTCACAGCTCTACCACCAAGAAAGTACTCTGCACATAGCAATCCCACCAGCTCTGCAGGCTAATTCAGCGGATGAAAACAGGGGACACTACTCAGAAAATATTTCAGAGTATATGGGTGGGATGTGCAGTTGTCAGGAAAGACTAAAAAGGTCAGGGTGGCTTTAAGAGAAAAAAGTGCCAAATAAAGAAAGACCAAATTAATAATCACACAAGACAATATATAAATTTTTTTATTCTTTCAATTTCGAACAGTATACAATCAAGCAAACAAGCAATAGCTAGGCCACTTATTAGAGGCTTTGGCAAAACCTGATCAGACCGGATGGGATCAACCCCCGTATTTCATTAAATGACAAAAGGTTAAGGATAGTGTTTCAGGGGTTAATCCGATCTGGTCCAATCCAGATATTGTCAATGGCCAATAATTATTAGCTATGTGTTTTACAAAAACTGAATAACTTTTTGAATATCAGTGAAATTCACTGAGTTATTCAATTCATTTTTTGTCTTTCAGAGCAAAATCAAAGACCATTCTAGACAATATTTCAGTACAATAAAGATGAATCTACATTAATGTATAGTTTACAGTTAACATAGGAATTAATGAAAGAACTGGTTAAAACTAACAACATTTCCACATGGCTAAGCCTTTAAAAAATAACAATCCTAATTGTTATTCAAGGACACATTTCATGTAAACATCCATCCAAAGTCTTAAAGTCCCTGTTGTTTTGGTGCTCTGGAAATGTTGCTTTATCGAGCAGATGGGTCAGCTCTTGCAACAGCTTACAGTCAAGAGGGGAAGTCTAATTATAGTAAAGCTCCAAGTTCATTCCATCATGAATTTCATCTGAGGTAGTTATGATCAAGGAATAAATAAGGCAAACACCAACACAGGTGACTAAACTGCATGTAAATTACCGTAACAAGATTGTTAGCACTGCAAAATTATTAATCAGTTTTGTATTTATGCAAAATATCTGGTAACTTGCGAATGTAGATAAGTCATCTTTTTCTGCAACTCCAAGCATTACATCCAACTCAAGTTTTGTCTTTCAACCCTTTAAGATGGATTATTTTAAATACTGAAGAAGTGCAAGCAGAAAAGCCATAAATGATTATCAATAACATGCCTCAAATAATTCTCTGTTGTCTTACAAGATAACATAGGACAATTAGGAAGGAGGATCTAGCAGCCTGTCAGAAATCACGTTTTTTCAAAAACTCATAAATTAAGGTAGAGTGCAATGATTTTTAAATCCTTGAAAGACCCTATCCCTGGAAAAGACCCTCAACTCTAACATTTCAGCTAGTTGCCAAGCAGGCCATCAGACATCAATCTCTTCATTAAATCCTACTTGACACACTTAACCATTACAGTCCCAAAAGTGGCCAACATCAATTTTCTCTTAACAACATAAACATGATCACCTAAATGAAAACGCTTGATCGTTAACCAAATTCTCCAAACTAATCTTAAAAGAGAGGTATAGAGATCAGCCTAGAGAATTTGAACATGGACCTTGAAGCTTAAAGGGTTAATAGTAACCACAGTGGCGGATCCAGGGGTGGGGCGTGGGGGGTCCCCCCCTTATTTTTAGACCAAAAGGAGGCCATGAAGGGCAGAAAAAATTTTTTGGAGACCAGGCTCCCCCTTAAATCCCAGAGTCTAGATGACTGCCCCC